TTCACGGTTTTTTTCTTCTTCTTTTTTTATTTTTATTTTTTAAAAATTTTCTGTTTCTGTTTTTTTTTCTTTCGTTGTTTTTTTTTTGCTTTCTTATTTTTTTTTCTTTTGTTATCTTTATATATTTTCTCAAATTTTACTTCTTCTTTTATTATTATTATTATTATTATTAGTTTATAATAATAATCCCTAAATAAAATTTATTTCTTCTTTTAATTAGAATTCTACTTAGATAATTTATTTATTTATTTTAAAAAATCATTTATTAATTATTATTTTTATATCCTAATCTAACAAGTCTACAATAAATTCAACAAAAATCTTCTAAAGTGAAAATAGATGGAAAGATATATTAATCTATTCAAATTCAACAATTCAATATCATGAAGCGACATAAATTGCAAAATCTATCTAAAAAAACATAATAATAATAATAACGTAAAAAATAATCAATATAATACATGTGATTTGAAGTATTTCATACTATTGGAATCAAATTTTCATAGAAGTAATATTATTTGAATCACGCGAGAATTTATAGTTACCTCGCTGCGAAAATTGATACCACAAAAGCGAGCTGTTCTTCACGAATTCGGAATCACGATCAAAGCTCTAACTCTAACCTAATTCTCAAAAGAAATAAATCATTTTTTTTCTCTTTGTGTTTGCTCTATATCTCTCTGTGTCTCTCTTTATTTCTCTATGTATCCTCTATTCTTTTTTTGTTTTTCTTTATAATATTTTTGGCTGAGAGTAAGGTGCTAATTAAAAGGAACGTAATAGAGTGGGATTAGGATTAGGATTTAATTTAAAATACTGTTGAGGGATTTATGGTGGAGAAATAATTAAATAATTATCCTACTAATAGGAAAAATAGTTTTTTGAGAGTTTGAGGTTAATTAAGATAAGGGTAATTTGAATATTTAGGACTCTTTTTTTTTCTACCATTATTTTTTAAACTAATTAAAAGTTGAAGATTTAAAACAAATATCATAACTTCATAATTTTTTATTATTAAAGTAATTTACACAATTTATTTATTTATATTTATTTTAAATATAACTTTTTTAAAATTGGTGTTAAATTTTTATATTTTGGTAAAAAATTAGGTGTTCACAAGTAGAATATATAGTACAAGTATTAGTTAAAGATAAATAACTTTCTTAGCTGGTTTAGTGTTGGCTCGGTCTTATTTTATATGTTATTTATTTTTATAAATAATTAGATCATAATTTTATCTATTATATTCTTGATAGAATGATTAATTAATATATAAAATGGAACGAAAGGAGAATAATTTTTTAAAAAATAGAAAAGAGTAGAAGAAGAAGATTTTGCTTAATAAGTGACTTTTTTCTAAATGATGCTCTAATCCGTACATATTTGAAATAATCAAGTTATATAAGGATATCGAATATCAATTGCCAACCTAAAATTAAAAGTGAAGAAATTGTAAGTTCTTTAACGAACTAATATCGCATATCTCCAACCCATTCTTTTTAAATCCACAATATAATTTGCATTTTTATAATCTTTATGTTAATATTGAATTAGAATTTTAATTAAGAAAATTCAAAATACATTTAAAGAAAAAAATATACAAATTTTTTTTATTAGAAAAGGATTAACTGTACCTCTTTACGCCCATGTGACTTTGTCCCTACTTTGCTTACACTATAAATAATGTATTTTAAAAAATTTAGTTCAATGCACATAAACAGAATAATTGAGGTGGGTACTTGACAAATAATTTTAGATTTCTTCACAAAGCAAAATATAAAATAAAATAAAGGCGAAGAGACAACACTTATTCTTCAAAGTATAAGAAAGGTGACTCCAATTTCAACTACCGGACTACACATTCTTCATGTGCCCAAAAATTAGTTGCGGCACAAAGGTGTAGTTTAATATTCAGTTCGATTTATATTAGTTGTTTATTTTATTATAAATAATATCAAAACTTATTTATTAATTTGTTGTTTTTTTGTTTTAATTTACTATTATGATTATTTTTTTCCAAAATAAATAAATAAATTTGTAATATTTTGAAAAAAAAAAGTTAAGAAGTAAACTAATAAAGTCATTTTTTAAAATTTATGATTTATCATGGATATAAAGAAAAAAAAAATAGACAATTAATATGAAAAAGAAGAGTATCTTAATCATATTAGTAATGCGAAGCGTTTGGAAGAGAATGACTTGGACCCTACATACGCTGAAAGTAAAATTGTTCAAAGTTCACTGGATAGCACATAAGTGAATAACATGACCAAATTAAGTTTATAATTAAGGCTAGCTACTTCAGTTTTGGCGCATAAATTCAAGAATATGTTCCCAATATTTACTGGTGAGATTAACAGGTGTTAGAATCGAAATAATTAAATATCATGCATAAGTTAAAAAATCAAATAATAAAAAAGAGATATTAATTTAACGTTTTCAATCAATTGACCTCTATTCTCAAACTGAAATACACAATATATTTTATAAAAGAGATTTAAAATATCAATTAGAAATAACCTCACAAAATTTAATTAAAAAAACAAACAAACACAAGTGACATGACAATACGTATGGATCACTACTTCTCTAGCTAAATAAGTGAGAAGGAAGGAGCCTCAATTTACCCGACTCAAAACCCTTTCCCTTTTACGGAAAACTTAGATGTAATTAAAGGTAACTAAACATTCTAAATTTACACATTAGCCTAATTTTTTTCTAAATTAATAGTAATACCTATAGTTATTTTTTAATACTAAAATGTATATATATATATAACTTGTTATTAAACGAGTATTTCAGTTATTTTAGGTCGAACGTCTGCACACAAACTCGACGATATTAACGGTTAATCAATTGTTTCTTACTTCAAGTCTCATGTGGTCCTTGCTTCTCTGGCTCTTTTGCACCTTCATCAACTCAAACATGCGAAAATTATATAGTAATTTTACGTAACAAAAAAAAAAATCAAAAATCAACCAAAGAAGTAAATTTTTCTTTAGTTAACAAATGAAAAATCCCGAAATTTACTTGGAAAATAATTTCATAAGGGGGACGAATATAGTAATTTTGAAGAAATAACATGGACATTTTTCGTGTTATGTGTCTTGTTTGCATCGTCTTGTTGATGATTTACCCCGTGAAAATAATATCAGTTTCTGATACTGATGCTTTGTTGAAGCTGAAACAATCATTTACAAATGCAGCTTCATTGGAATCATGGAAACCTGGAACGGATCCGTGTGATAAAAATATACGTTGGTTGGGTGTTTTTTGTCAGAAAAAAATAGTTACTGGACTTCTTCTTGCAGAAACGAATTTATCTGGAATTATAGACGTTGAGGCATTATCACAAATGCCTGGTCTGCGTACACTTAGTTTTCAGAGCAATTTATTTTCTGGACCAATGCCGGAATTCAATCGAATGGGTGCTTTAAAAGGTCTTTATTTGTCGGAAAATCAATTTTCTGGTGAAATTCCTTCAAATTACTTCGCAAAAATGTTGTCCTTGAAGAAGTTATGGCTCTCTGACAACAAATTTTCCGGTGAAATTCCGGCGTCATTAATGGAGCTGCAATATCTCATTGAATTGCACCTGGAGAACAATCAGTTCACAGGTCCAATACCCCCAATGTCGAAGCAGTCAACGTTAGAATCAATCGATTTTTCTAATAATAACTTGAAAGGGGAAATCCCTGTTTCATTATCAAGATTCAATGAGAGTTCGTTTAAGGGGAATTCCGAGCTTTGTGGGGAGAAATTAGGCAAACCTTGTGATCAAGCCACAAATAGCGACAACACTAATAATAATGGCACTCAACAAAGTCCGGATAGTAATTCTAATAAAAGCATCTCAATGTGGATTGTGATATCATTAGTTGTTCTGTTATTGATCGTGATCATAGTAATATACCTCATATGTCGCTACCAACAAAGTCGTCGTGCATCCATTGAAAGTTTTGATGAGCCATCACTTGGGAGGCGAATTTCAAGTGATAGCAAGAAGTCATTTGAACTAAGTAGACGTGGAAGTTCGATTAGAAAAGGGTCGATAATGGGAAAACGTGTAGGAGATTTGACAATGGTGAATGATGATAAAGGTGAGTTTGGTTTAGCAGATTTGATGAAAGCTGCTGCAGAGGTGTTAGGGAATGGGCCATTGGGTTCTTCTTATAAGGCTATGATGTCAAATGGATTGACAGTTGTGGTAAAGAGGATCAAAGAAATGAACAAGATCGGAAAAGAGGGTTTCGATGCAGAGGTTAAACGTTTAGGAAGTTTGAGACATAAAAATATTCTAACACTTTTGGCTTACCATCATCGCAAGGAAGAAAAGTTGTTTGTATATGAGTACATTCCTAAAGGAAGTTTGCTGTACGTATTGCACGGTAAAGTACCTACCTCTAATTTTATCAAGTCATGCTAGAAATGCATGGTAAGACTGCGTACAATAAGCTCATTTTTGTTAATTTTGTGCATGTGCTTAGAATAGGAGGCCAAAAACTTCTACAAGTCGTGTGTTTACATTGTATTAGTAGTTTAGTCGTCAAGTGTTTCATATTAGTTGAGGAACGGAAAGTAGTCTCCTAGTATGATCATGGCAAACTATACGTCTATATCCATGAACTAGCTTTGAAGTTGAGTGAGGTCTAAAGGTCCGTTTGCTTCACAAGTTATCGAAGCCAGACTCATCTGTACTCTTGACATGTAGAGCCCCCATGTTATATTGGGATTATTTGCACCTTATGGTCTTTTCCAGGCCACTTATTGAATTATGTTCCCGTTAGCCCGTGTGTTAAGGGGAATGTAACATAAATAGAGACCTCAAGAAAGGTCTTTTCTACAGTTGTCCTGTTGGGAGTTAAGGGACAGATTTGAGCTATGCTCAACTCATGAACTAGTTTTTGAGGTTTAATTAGGCCAAATACTCAATTTTCTTTACGCCAACTAGTTTGTGTATGATTACTTTACTTATAAAGATTGCTGCTGCTTTATGAATGATCACAGGTGAAAGAGGGCTGCCCCATGCTGAGCTCACCTGGCCAGTGCGTCTAAAAATTATACAAGGAGTAGCTCAAGGACTAAATTATCTTCACACTGAACTTGCTTCTTCTGATTTGCCCCACGGCGACTTGAAATCTAGCAATATACTCATAAACACAAACCACGAGCCAATACTCACTGGTTACGGATTCTGCACCTTAATGAACAACGCGCATGCAGTTCAAGCATTGATCGCGTTCAAGTCACCAGAAGCAGTACAAAATAACCAGGTTACACCCAAGTGTGACGTTTATTGCCTTGGAATTGTGATTCTTGAGATAATAACAGGGAAGTACCCGTCTATATATCTTAATGCCGGTAAAGGAGGGATAGACATAGCACAATGGGCGAAATCCGCGATTGCTGAGGGAAGAGAAGCTGAATTATGTGATCCAGATATAACAGCAAGCGCGAAAGATTCAATGAGTTCAATTAAGGAACTAATTCACATTAGTGCAGCATGTGTAGAGAGTAATCCACAACAGAGGATAAGTATTAGAGAAGTCATTAGGAGGATTGAAGAAATACAACAACAAAACGGAGTAGGACGAACAACAACGTCTCAGTCTCAAACGGGACAAGCAATTGAGGTAATGCCGTCTCCAAGAGATGGAGATGCTGAAATACAAGTTTCAGAATCCCAACAAGGAATAACAAATCATTAGGAATTTTAGCAGACTCCGGTAATTCAAGACGTGGTTAATATTGCAGCTTCTCCTATAATCATCAGACTAATGATTAGTGTTTTTTTTCTCTTCATTTTTAAAGGTTCGTTAACTAGGGATAGTACATATATTACTGACTAAGTTTTAGTTTTATTTTTGTGTATTTTTCCCCTTCTTTTAGATGCCCCCATTATCTCCCCTTGTAGAACAAGAAATGAGAGGAGAAGCTGTATCCTGTGTAGAGATGAAACAGTTTCCTGTTTCTACCATGTTGATTACTAACTGATCTTGTAGAACCAAAATTCTTAGCATACTTCGACTAATTCCAAGGGATACTGTCATTTCCGATCACTAACATGTACAAGGTAACTCTGCTTACCAAGGATAGAATATATGAGAAAGAAATTACCTAGTGTTGTTATCTCATTGATCACATTCTCGAACGTTATATGTTAATTTTTTTCACATAATAATAAATAGAGAAGCATGGAAGGCCCAATCAGATAACTAAACTCTTTCTCCATTTGGACTATAATTTCATGGGACAACAGCTCTTTGCAAAGTTTAGATGTTGGACTCTAACTTTCCAAAGGACTTGTTCTGAAGTGCTTTTTAATGAAGTAACTGGGCTTTTGCCTGAGAAAACAAAAATTTGGATCATCACATTTATTAAAACATAAAATTCACACGATCCCTTGAAATCGGTCCAGTAAATTTCATTTAGACATTCAAATTATGTTATGTTTTGGTTCAAACATACTAAAATATTTATATTATACACTTTTAACTTCTTTTTAAAATAAAAATAAAAATACGCACTTTCTTAATTATCGAGCCACATAAATAAGTTTGATCACTTAATTCATATCTCCATTTAATTATACACATTAACATCAACCAATCGAAACTGCTAATATCAAAACTAAAGTTTCAACCAAACACATGATAAAATAATCTCACAATTATTATCCTTACCCTTCGTACCCCGGATGGACTAATGAAATGTGTGGATCTCCCATTGGCAATGTAGTGTACGATTGATCGAACGTGACCTCACTGATGATATGTGTATTACATAATACAGCTGGAGATGAAAGAACCGAAAAATGTCCACACGTCAAGGTGTTTTTTTCTAGTCTGGCAAACAACAATATGTAATTACTACACATATTAATTTGTACTCCAATATACAGAGGAAAGTGAAAAAAAAAATTAGAGTTTCCAGAACCTGTCTGAACACAGAACAGAATCAAACAGGTTGGTTTTTGAAAACATATGAGCTGTTTTTTGAGCTGAACGCCACAACACTAATCTATACATTATATATTTTTTTAAAGTTACTACTAGTTAGTGGTGTAGTAGTATAATATTATGACACACCTATTGAGATGATAGATTTAATCCAAAGTACAAATTGTTTATTGTAGCACTCGTGTGATACTGACTTTGCTTTAATTTTCTGCATAGATTGTTTGCCAGCTACGAAACAGCTTCACACATAATTTGAATCATTCAATGGAGAAATCAGTACACTTCCTTACTTGTGTATTTTAAATAATATTGCTTTCATTTCACACATACAAAAATATGAATTTCCAGCTTGCCACTGTTCTTTCCATACTCCAAAGGCTGTTAGCTTAACGACACATCGTTTCAATTCCTTCTACTTTTTTTTTCTCGCTCTAGATCAACTAAACTTGTTTTAATTGTGCGTTTGATTCATAATCAGTAAAAGTTATATGATAAATTTTTGTACTACTGAAAGAACGAAGGCTAAATGTATACTTTGTTTTTTTTCCTTCTTCATATTTTTAGATGTAAGATTTAACATTGAAACACTGAATAATCGATGCATAATATGGTATTGTTATTTTGTGTTTATATTATGTGGAAGAATTTTTTAACGTGCGAGCGTGCACGCACGTGAATCCGTACGTAGATAAGTTGACTTCATTAAATTGTTCATTTGGTTTACTCTCATTAATTAATTTTGGCTTTTGCGTTTCTATGTCTTGGCCAATTAGGTCATATTTGATACTATTATAATATAAGGGGATTAGTTTCATTTTTTAAATAAAAATAATGGAATAAAATGATGTAAAAATTAACTAATACTTATAATCAAAACACAAAATAGAATAATTTTAATTTTGTTTTGAATTTTTTATTGTTATCCCACAAATCAAGTACGAGCAAAAATATTAATTTTTCGTTATTTGTTAAAAATATGTATACAATATGGCATTGACTCTTTTTTAAAAAAAATCTCAAACTTAAACTAGTTAATCTCAAAATTAGCTTATTTTTCAAAACTGCAGTTTTGAAGTAGTCAATATTAGTAATTTCTTGTCAACAGTTGCTACATTTTCCAAACTTGGTCAACAAGAGTGCAATGTCTTACTATTTAGAATTAACTTAAAATTTGCAAGTTTTTTTACCTACTGTTTCTAGACTCGGTTATTCTTTATTGGTGAATTTTTATTTTAGATATTTCAATATTTTATAAAGTATATTTAATTTATCAATTAATTGAAATATAATACTTGATCATTTTGCTTCTGAACATTCATAAATATATTATAATTATTAATCATTTAGTCACTTAATTATCCAGATATAATATGCAGCTTAAATATTATTACCCAATCGACAATAAAATAGTTACAAAAGTATTTCTTATATATAAAATATATAAAGGCAAAAAATATAATAACTTTTAATTAATATAAGATTATATGTTATTGAATACCACTATCATAAATTTATTAGTAATATAATAATTAAAGCATCTAATGTGTTATTATTATACTAAGATGAGTTGAGAAATAGTGATAACAGTACCGTAATTAATCATCTTAATAGTATATATTATTGTTACTGCAGAATTGATTAATTAATTAATTCAACATGTAAAATTTATCGGCTTCCATTTTTTGATTCTTCAGTTTTCTTCATCTTTATAATTCTTTGCATCTTCTTCACCAAAAAGCTCGAATCCTTTTTTTGCTTTTTACCAGATTCTGAATTTCAAATTTGGATTCTTATCGATGGAAGCACCAGAGAACGACGCCGTAGCGTTCGAGTCAGCTGAGAAGATAATTCTCCGGTGGGATTCTACGGTGTCGGAAGAAGCTAGAGAGAAAATGATATTTGACGCCGATCGTTACGAGATCAATCGGTATTTGCACGCCGTCGATGAAATCCAACGGTCAATGGAGTCCACAACACTCTCCGACGACCAAGATAAAGCTAATAGTGCGATCCAGATCGCCATGGCTCGGCTTGAGGATGAGTTTCGTAGCATACTTGTTGCTCACACAAATGCAATCGAGGCTGATTCGTTAACTGACCCTAGTCCTTCTCCAGTCCACTCCGGCGAATTCCAGTTGCCTGTGGAAGACTACCATGATACCCTTACCGACGATGATTCATTCACCAAAGAGTTGGAACATCAAGAGAGTAGCAGCAGCAGCTATCGATCTACTAGCAGTATCCGCGAAGTTGATCTCATGCCGCCCGTAGCAATATATGATCTCCGGAGTATCGCCGAGCGAATGATTTCCGCTGGATATCTCCGGGAGTGTATTCAGGTCTACGGTAGTGTACGGAAGTCCGCTGTGGAGTCGAGCTTCCGCAAGCTTGGAATAGAGAAACTCAGCATCGGAGATATCCAGAGACTTGATTGGGAGACTTTGGAAACAAAGATCCGAAGATGGATACGAGCTGCCAAAGTATGCGTTCGCATACTCTTCGCTAGCGAGAAGAAACTCTGTGAGCAAATCTTCGAGGGTTTGGGCACGGTGACTGATGATGCTTGCTTTATGGAGACTATTAAAGGACCAGCTATACAGCTATTCAATTTCGCTGAAGCCATTAGCATCAGCAGGCGATCGCCTGAGAAGTTGTTTAAGATATTGGATCTTCATGACGCTTTATCCGATTTACTTCCTGATGTTGAGATTGTTTTCGAGTCAAAATCTTCAGAATCAATTAGAGTTCAGGCAGTAGAGATATTGTCTAGGTTAGGGGAGGCTGCTAGAGGGATACTGTCGGAATTTGAGAATGCTGTACTCCGTGAACCTTCGAAGGTCCCTGTTCCAGGAGGGACAATTCATCCCTTAACTAGGTATGTCATGAACTATATAAGTCTAATTTCGGACTATAAGAAGACATTGGGTGATTTGATTGTTTCACAGCCATCGACGGGATCAAGGTATTCAAGTGATCCTAACACCCCTGATATGGACTTTGCGGACCTAGACGGGCTGACACCATTGGCGCTTCATTTGATTTGGATTATTGTCATTTTGCAGTTCAATTTGGAAGGTAAGTCTAAGCACTACAGAGATACCTCTTTAGCTCATTTATTCATGATGAACAATGTCCATTATATTGTTCATAAGACTAAAGGGTCACCTGAGTTGGGGGAAATGATTGTAGATGATTTCTTGAGAAAATTAACGGGGAAATTTAGACAAGCTGCTACCAGTTACCAGAGAGCAACCTGGGTGAAGGTTTTGCATTGTTTGAGAGATGAGGGACTACATGTGAGTGGCAGTTTTTCATCGGGGGTGTCAAAGAGTGCATTGAGAGAGCGTTTCAAGACGTTCAACGCGTTGTTTGAAGAGGTGCACAGGACTCAGTCCACATGGTTGATACCAGATACACAGCTCAGGGAGGAGCTGCGCATTTCCATAGCCGAAAAGTTGATTCCTGCCTATAGATCATTTCTTGGACGATTCAGGAGCCATATAGAAAGCGGAAGGCATCCAGAAAACTATATCAAGTATACTGTGGAGGACCTAGAGAATGCTGTCTTAGATTTCTTTGAGGGGTACGCTGTGTCACAGCACCTAAGAAGAAGATCTCAGTGAAAGAATATTAGTTTCAACAGTTAGTTCTTTAGGCCATTCTTTGAATTTTTTTCATGGAGTTATTCAGGGGCTGAGGTTACGGCATTCTGGTGTTTCTCGAGTTTCTACTTCCATTTCTAGTATTCCAGGGTGATTGGCTGCTGAAAACTTCAGGAAGATCAACTGTTATCAATCAAGAAGGGTCAGTGCCTCCTGCCTCTGGATGCTCTGCCCTGTAAGCATGTTGTTGTTGTATTTCTTCCATACTTCTAGACTTCATTTCAATTTGTCCATATCTGAACTGTTGTGTTGATTACTTTCTTGAAATTTTATCATTATCATGATTTTGTTAACTTGAGTCCAGAATTTAGTTTAGCTTGGATGACTTCTACACTGCAACGATATTGTTCTTTGGAATATCTTCTTGTAAGTTTATTTTAAATCAAGAATGTAACAGATTTCCTACAACGGCAAGGGCCTTAGTAGGTGACAATAAATAAATAAAACC